AAAATTCCTTTGATTCAACAACCATAACCATAATAGTACTATCATTGCTACTTCATATATGGCATGTTTTGCTTCCCATTCATTTCCTTCTTCAACTTGGGTCATTGACCAGGTCCTTAGGTATGTTTTCTTCTGTTTCCAAATCATCTCCTTATCAGTTAGTTACCATAGCCAATGGTACCTACCTCCTCTTCTATTCATGATGTTGGTAATGTTTCTTTTTATCCTTCTTTATCCTTATCTTCTATTCTCTATGTTCTAAATTTCCCTTCATTGTCAATGTCTATTAGGAAATTAACTAAATATTTAAACTACTCCAGAAGTGATTTTCAAGATCTAAAGATAGGGAAGGAAGATTGGTAGCGCATGAAGCAGGACTTATTATCTTGATTGGTGGTGGTGGATCAAAGGCAACCTTCCAATCATCTCTGTCTCCATTCCAGTGGCACTATTACCTCAGTCATCCTACTCTTCAAAAGTTGAACGCATTGGTGCTTACTTTGAGTAATTTGTCTTCATTGGAATGTGATTATGTCAGTTAAGTATGCATCAATAAGTCTCTTTTAGTCCTCGAGTTGAGAGTTGTGTCTAGTCCTTTTCAATTTGTTCATTCTAATATTTGAGGCCCAATAAAAGTCGAGTCCTATATTTAATGAAAGATCATCCAAAGTTTTTTTCAATATTCCAGTTGTATTATGCAAAAATTAAGAATCAATTTGGCATTTCTATTAAAACTTTGAGATCTGACAATGGCCATGAATATTTGAAATTCTGAATAAACAATTTCAAAACTTTCTTAGGAAAAATGGCATTATTCACCATACCTCGTGCTCATATGCCTCCCAACAAAATGGTGTGGATAAAAGAAAAAATCGCCACCTCTTGAATATTGCACATTTTTTGTTGAAATATATGAATACCCCAGAGAAGTTTTGGAATAATTACTGTTTGTTTCTTAATTATAGAATTCCATCATCCGTTTTTGCATAGTACTTCTCCTTCCTCTATTTTATTTCCTTCTCAATCCCTTTTTACTTTGACTCCACATATCTATGGTTGTGTCTATGCACCTCCTTGGTATGAGTCTTCATAAATTGGATGCCAGGGTTGTCAAATGTGTTTTTCTTGGCTATTGCCATACCCAAAAGGGATATTGATATTACAGTCCTACTTTAAGAAAGTCCTTTGTTTATTGCTACTTTCTTTGAATCTATACCCTATTTTGCTCTTGAAGTTGTTCCTGCTAATGATCCCAAGGCATTTGCTTATTCCTATCTTGCGTACAAAAAAAACCACCAATTTAATAAGTGCACCATCTACTTTTACGACAGATTATTTGCCTTCATTCAACCTTGGTCTTCCTATTGCCTTCCAAAAAGGTAAATGTAGTTGTACTGCTCATCCACTATCTAGTTTTCATTATTATGATCACTTATCTCTTGCCTATCATTACTTCCTTTCCTTCTTATGCTCTGTCTCTGTTCCTCTCTGTTCAAGAAGTTCTTCAGTCAATTGGTTGGAGACAAGCTATGGAGGAGGAATTTCTTGCTTTATAGAAAAATTGCACATTGGATCTTCTCTTTCATGATAAATATCTATTTTGTTGTTAGTTTTATACTGTGAAGCATCTCCTTGATGGCAGCATGGAAAGGCTAAAAACCTTCCTTGTTGCCAAAGGTTATATTTAGATTTATCTAGCTGCTAAAACTCACTAACCATTATTTCAGCTTGATATTAAAAATGTTTTTCTACATGGTGACTTGGAGGAAGAAGTTTATATGGAACAACCACCTAGGTTTGTTGCTTGGGGAAGGAGCATAAGGTCTGTTAGTTGCAGAAAGCAATCTATGGTCTCAAATGAACGCCTAGGGCTTGGTTTGTTCAGTTTAGTGAGGTGGTGAAACAGTTTGGATTGAAACAGTGCTGAGTGGATCATTTGGTGCTTAGTTGTGGCTTGTGATATGACAGCTAGTAAGATGATATTAGTGGTCTGTTGATGATATTGCCATCACTGGAAGTGATCAACATGAGATAGAGATACTTAAACAATTTTTGCAACAACATTTTCAAACCAAGGGCCTTGGTACATTTGCATGGAAGTGGCTTGGTCCAAATATAGCATCAATTTAAGTCAAAGGAAGCATGTACTTGACATACTTGAGGAGAATGGGTTGTTGGATGCACAACTTGTAGAGACTTCCATGGATCCCAACATCAAGTTAAGTGCTGATTAGGGGGTATTATGTGATAATCGAGGAAGGTATAAAAGATTGTGGTGGTCAAGTTGAATTATCTAACTATCACAAGATCCAATATTTTGTATGCTCTAAGTATTATTAGTCAGTCAATGCAAAGCCCTTAGTTCCATAATGGAATGCTATGATTAGAAAAGTCAGCTATTCGAAGGGAGCACCTGATTGTGATTGTTATACAACGCACATGGTCACTTGGAGGTTAAGAGCTACACATATGTTGACTGAGTTGGTTCTACTGGAAAGAGGAGATCCATTATTAGACACTGCACATTTTGGGTGGTAATCATGTCACTTGAAACAGTAAGAAATAAGGTGTAGTGTAGTAGCATAGAGTAGTGCAGAGGCTGAATATAGGGCAATGCTACATACTATATTTCAGTTAGTTTGGCTTCAAAATCTCCTACAAAACTTGGGTAAGGTGTTTCAATCCCTATGAAGCGACACTGTAATAACCAGG